AATCATCGCCCCACCATATGAATATTACATCGATCTGCGTGTTGAACCTTGTAGTTGATATTTTTGGGTTAAGTGCACGTTTAAATTTGTTTTTATTAAAATAATTTTCTAAAAAGCCTCCCTCATTATATGAGTCATAATTAAAATCTCCTATTATAATTCTTTTATCACTTATTGACTGCCTTAAAATATTATTCAATTCGTGTATAAACATAGTTCTAGTTACTGTCGGAGACTTATATCCTGTAATAATTTCAACCTCATTTATGATTATGCGAATCAGGTCAATATGCCGATTTTGTCCATTTACAAATTCATCTTTTTGAATATGTTTATCAATTAATCCATTCATCCCTTTTTTGATAAAGCATATTATTCCTTTTGGTAAACGTTTAACATTATTATGTTCTGAAAAGAATATTAAATCCTTCTAAAATTATCTGTTGCAATTGTTTGTGATTCTGAAAAAATTATTAAATCTGCTTGTTTGTACCAATTATCACAGGATATATTTATAATATTTTTATTTAATGATCTTACGTTCTGATATATTATTTTTATTCGATTTCCCTTTATAACTTTTGAATATGAAAATTTCAATAATTTCTTTTCTTTTAGACGTTTAATTTCTAATTCTAAATTATTATTTGATGATGGTTTCTTTGGTGCTTTAAAACTACTATTAATGTATAATTCTGATAATTTTTTTACTCTACTCAATGCTACATAAAGCATTGCCCTTGTCATACGATAGCTCTCTGTTAAATCAATACACATTTTTTCGTAGGTTTGTCCTTGACTTTTATGAATTGTTAATGCCTCGGCTGGCGTGATAGGAAATTGTTCTCTCACAATCTGATACCCCATTCTTTCATTAATATTCAATACAATAGATACTTGTGAGAGCAGAACCAAACTCATTTTCATGTTATTTTCATTCATATACCCTACGTATGGTCGCCTTTTTCCAACACCAATCCTATCATTATTGAATTCTAACCACATTTTCATTGGTTCATCTGTACCTGATTTAAAAGTTATTTTTTCCAATTTTCCACAGACTCCATTAACTAAACCATCTTCTACATCTATATTAGAAGTTATCATGTAATTTATTCCAATTTTTAATGTAATTTGATAATCCAAGCCTCCACATTCTGTCCTTTTTTTATTTTTTAATGATGTTAATAATTTATTTCTCAACTTACTACTTATTTTTCCTAAAATTGTATCTTTGGCTATATGTAGAATCATAGGCTACACCATCTATT